TAGAATTCCAGTCTTAATAAGCAAGCAACAAGCACAGGACCAGCAAATACATGTACACATATACAAAGGAAGCTCTGGTGGCACTGGGATTAAAATGACAGCCTAGGGAAACCTACAGGACAGTTGTGCTCTGATGGCGTGGGGTCTCAATAAGTCAGGATGGATTCAACAACACCTAACAACAAAATACACACACATATATGAAAATATGTGCTGTATAGTCCACGTGTATGTTAACATTCTTATAGAAAGAAAGGCGATATACAGGTTGTATGCTTCAGCTTTATTTTAATCCCATCTACTTCTGTTTTCTCTTCCAAATGTAATTCCCTAAGGAGATAGTAATAAAAATTCTTTTAAAAGTTCAGCTCAGCTCTATAGCTGATGCAGGCCATTGTAAACAAGGTGATGACAGTCACCGACCGAGTCAGCAGCAGCTTTGCAAAGAGAGACAAGTAAGAGAACTTTACAAAGGAGACACCTTCAAACACATGGAGGACTCGATCGAGTGTGTTAAAGACCTTTGAGACCAACAGATGTGCCTGCCTCACTGCACCCTATGCTAGGTAGCATGGATTTACTTCTTCTTTCCATCAAATTGTAAACCTTTAAGTGCAATGTAGGTCACATACCTCTCAGTTAAAGTTTCTTGTGAGAGCAATTCTCAACCATTCCCATGACAGATATAACGATAGATGAATGAACGGATGGATGGACGGACAGAATAATGGATAGAGATGGACCATAGATAGAAGATAAATCAGCTGATAGATAGGCAGATAGATGGTTAGATGATGGATAATTTTGTTGTTGTTATATGCCATTGAGTCACCCTATGTCCAACAGTTCTGAATGCTGCCCTGTCCTGGGCTAGTCTCACTGACTCTGATACAACCACCCCCATTGCCTTAGTTACTGTTATCAATCCATGTTATCTGGGAACTTCCTGTCCTGCGCTGTTCCTCCACCCTTCCAAGCATGATGTCCTTCTCCAAGGACCGGTCTCTCCTGGCCACATGCCCAATGTATGTGAGATGGAGCTTCAGAATCCTAGCCTCCAAGGAGAAGCTTGGTTTCACCCTCTCCATGACTGATTTATTTGTTTTCTTGGGGGTCCAAGATGAATGGGTAATAGGCAAATAACATGTATATGTTGTTGTTGTGAACCTTTGAATCAGAACGGACCTAGCAGGTTCTCAGAGGCAGTTAATCACATGGGAGGAGATTGCCTATCCTTCTTCCTTGGAGTAACTGGTGGTCTTGAACTGCGTGCCTTCTGGATTGCAGTGCAGCAATGGGTTGTGGTGCCGGAGAAGAGCATTAAACATTCTATGGACTACCAAGAGAATAAACAGGTCTGTCCTGGAGAGGGTAAAACCAAGTTTATCCTTGGAGGCAAGGATTTTCAAGTTCCATCTCACACACTTTGGGCATGCTTCTAGGAGAGACCCGTCCTTGGAGAAGGACATCATGATTGGAAAGGTAGAAGGTCAGTGCAGGAGAGGAAGATCGTGGATGAGATGGATTGATACGGTGGCTGTGGCAGTGGGGCAGGTGTGTCAGAGATGGTGCAGTTGGCTCAGATTAGATCAAGATTCAGAGATATCACTCATATGATCACTATGAGAGCCACATCCCCTGAAGGGAGCTCTGGCCTAGTGGTAAGATGTTCCGCTGCCAATTATAAGGCCTGCAGTTTGAATCCACCATCTGCTCTGTGGGAGAAAGATGGGCAGCCTCTTCTAATGTGATTGAAAAACCCTGAAGAATCAGCTACGCGTCAGTTCCGACTTAAAGACATAAAACAGCAAAAATGTTACCTGAAGGATGGTTTTTAATGATGGATACAACATCAGAACTCTTAACTTCCTTTATCTGTGTTTGTCACTGCATCCCATCATGTATACATGGGTCCATGGACAGGTTGAGGCTTTTTGCCTCGGAACAGGTGCCTTAAGTGTCTTTGTGCCTCCCTGGCAGTCAGTGTTCTCCATGCAGTTCAGTCAGAGGGTGGCGGGTGGAGAAGCTGCGTACATACTGAGGAGCCACCTCTCACCTCTCTGCCTGCTGACTGTGCTGTCGTTTCTGAGCTGGGAGGCTCCTATGTCCCATTTGGCCCTCACTCTCACCCTCCCAGGCCTGGGGCTGGCAGCACCATAGCCCCTCGGAGCAGGGTTTCTTTTCAAACAGTATCCCCTACTCTCGCCACTTCCAAGAATGGACTTCCTGTTTCAAGTCCTCAGAAGCCACATTAGAACTAGAAGGCCTTTTGCGTCTCCTTTTTACTTGGCTGCTGGGAATGCTGATTTCCCATTTTGACAACAGGAACCAGCCTCCCACGGTAATGGCTGCTTTGTTAAGTGTCAGCAGTAAACTTGACTCTCCATCCTGATTAAACAATGAGCCCTAACTTGTTCCAAAGGCTGCTTATGCACAACCTATAATCAGTCAGACTGTTCGCTTCTACATCTAGAGCCAAAGAGGGAGAAATTAAAAATGTTTACCAAATCCTACAGTCCGAAACTGACCAAACATGCAATCAAGATGCATTAATGATAACTGGTGACTGGAATGCAAAAGTTGGAAACAGTGATGATGGAAAGGTAGTGGGGGGAAAAAAATATAGGCCTGGTGATAGAAATGAGGCTGGAAATAGAATAATGGAATTTTGTATTTTCAATGATTTATTCATTTCAAATACTTTTAAAAGACATCAATGGCGACTTGACACATGGACATCACCTGATGGGCTACATAGGAATCAGACTGACTACATCTGTGCAAGGAACCACTGGAGAAGCTCCATGTTGGTCAAAACTAGCCCCGGGGGGGGGGAGGGGCTGTGGGTCAGACCATCTGTTACTCATGTACAATTCAAAATGAAGCAAATAAAAGTTAAAATAGCTCCATGAGAGCCAAGATATGATCTTGAGTCTATTCAATCTGAATAGTTTGAGGCTTCGGAAACCAATGATAGGAGACTAGAAGAATTGTGTAATGATATCAAGAATATCATCCATGAAGAAAGCAAAAGTTCATTACAAAGACTGGAATAAGAAAAAAAAAACCACAAACCCCAAAATGGATGTCAGAAGAAATTCTAAAAATTGCACTGGAATGTCAAGAATCCAAAATAAAGAGACACCATGCCAAAGTGAAAGAGCTGAGCAGAAAATTTCAAAGGGCAGCTTGGGAGGAAAAAAGGAAAGTATTATAAGGGAATGTGCAGAGAGCTGGAATTGGAGAATAAAAAGGGAAGAATTCACTCTGCATTTCGCAAGCTGAGAGAACTGAAAAGCCAATTTAAGCCTCGAGTTTCAATACTGAAAGATGTTACAGTCAATATATTAAATGGCCCAGAAACATCAAAAGAAAATGGAGGAAATATACAGAGTCACTGTAACAAAAAGAACTGATTGAAACTGACAAATTTCAAGAGTAGGAGCCAAAAAAAAAAAAAAAAAAAGAGTAGGAGCCAATGGTAATGGAGGCTGCACTATAAAGGCAACTGCAAAATAAGGCGCCAGGAATTGATGGGATACCAATTAAGACTTGTTTCAATTAACAGATGCAGCCTTTGATGTGCTCACCAGTCTATGCCAGAAAATTTGGAGGACAGCTGTCCGGCCAATGGATTGGATTATTCCCATTCCCAAGAAAGGTGATACAACAGAATGTGGAAACTATATCATTAATATCATATGCAAACAAAATAATGCAGAATATAATTAAAAAATGGATAGGACATAGATAGGTAACTGCCAGAATTCAAGCAAGATTTAGAAGAGGCTGTAGCACCAGGGATATCATTGCTGATATTAGATAGATTCTTGCTGAAAGTAGAGAATACTAGAAGAATGTCTATTTATCCATTATTGCTTATGCAAAGACATTTGACTGTGTATCATAACAAGTTATGGCTAACAGAGAGAGAAATGGAAATCCCAGAGCACTTAATTGTGCTCATGCAAAACCAATACCTAGACCAGGAAGGAAGCTGTTGTGTGATCAAGAGAGCAAGGGAGGAGGCAACATCAGAATACACCAGGAAAGGATTTAAACTGTCAATAACTAACTTGCGTGAACCCACAACATTTTCCTAACATGAGTTAGGAAATGAGCCGTATTGCACTGGGAAAGTCTGCAGTTAGGGACCTCTCTAAATTATTTAGTAGTAGTAGTAATGTCAGTTTGAGGGCTAAGATGTGTCTGATTTCAAGCCATGGTCTTTCTGATTACTTGTGTGTCTGAGAACGGACAATGAATAAGTATGACAGAAAATTTGATGTGTTTGAGCTGTGGTGTCGGAGAAGAGCACTGAACGTCCCGTGGAAAGCCAAGAGAACAGAGATGTCTTGGAGAGGGTGCAGCCGGAGTGCTTTTGGAAGGAAATATGATGAGATTTTGCCTCACATACTTTGTACATGATGCAAGGAGGGTCTATTCCTCAGAGAGGGACATGATGCTTGGAAAGGCAGAGGGTCAGCGAAAGAGAGTAAGACCCATGACCAGGTGGGTTGGCACAGTGCCTGCCACAGTGGGCTCTTATGTGTCAGGTATTGTGAGGATGGCACAGGACAGGACAGGGTTCAGATCTGTTCATAGGGGTGCAATGGGTTGTTCTCGACTTGACGGCACCAAACTGCAACATAGAATAATGGACTTAAGGCTTCTAAACAATTTGAGAAGTGTCCCAATTCAGTCTAGAGCTCTTTGTCAAATCTTGAGTGCACAGGGATTTGGTTTCCAAGAGAGCCCCCATAAAACTGCCTCCAGATGATTCTGACTGAGGGAACCCCATAGGCCACAGAGCACAGCTGCCCTTAGAGCTTCTCCAGAGGTCCCGTTCGCAGGAACACATTGCCGGGCCCTCCTTCCTGGGAGCTCCTGGGTGAGTCTGAGCTGCCAACTCTTCCACCCTTTCGCTCTGCAGCCCTGCCCCTAACTGTTGCACCCACTCGTTTCCCACCTTGTCCTGACTCAGCCACTTCTTCCTACAGAAGTGGGTGGACGGCGGCTTCACCAACAGCCTTCCCATCCTGCCTGAGGGCCGGACGGTGAGCGTGTCACCATTTAGTGGACAGACGGACATCTCCCCGCAGGACAGAGGACAGCTGAACCTGTATATCACCGTCGGCAAACAGGACATAGCGGTGAGACACTCAGCTCAGTAGCTTCAGTCTCTTCCTCAGCCTCAGGAAGTTTCTGCAGAATTTAATATGGTTCTCCGACAGCTAAGCTTGTTGTTTGCATCTTCTTAATACAGCGCTTTTACTGTATCTGCTCTGCGCTGTTTAGCAGGCATTCACAGCCAGGGGAGTGGGGTGGTGTTACTGTGAGGTGTGGACAAGGTCAGCCAGGACTTAGAGTGCCCTTGGAACCACATGGCCTTCACAGGCTGTCACTGCAGTCTACCAACAACTCATTAACTGTGCACAGAATTTCCATCACTTTCTCAGGCTGATAAGCACCGTGGAGCCAAGTTTAACTTCGATCACTTATTTGTATTGTGGGTTTGGTTTTTTTTTTTTTGGGGGGGGGGGTTGTAAGCCAAAAAGTGAAAGGATAGACCTCCCTCCTTGAAAGGAAATATGGGAAAAATGCCTACTTACTTGTTGTAAAAAGGCAGGGATGATGAGGCCTATAAAAATATGGGAGAAAAATGAAGCCGCTCAAATGGACAATTTCCATTAATTGCCTTACCCTAGTGGTTCTCAGCTTGGGCAGCTGTATCCCCCCGCACCCCCCCCCCAAGGAACATTCAGTAACGTCTGGGCTAATTTTTGGTTGTCGTTTAAATGGAGAACTGCTATTGGTCCCTACTGTGGAGAGGCCTGGGATGTTGTTCCACACCCTATAGGACAGTCCCTAAATGACCAGTGACAAAGACCAGGGGTGCTTCTCCTCACCCTACAGTGTATAGGACAATCCCCACCCTGGAGAATGACCAGTGACACATACTAGAGGTGCTGACCCACACCCTACAGCGCACGGGATGGTCCCCACCCCAGAGAGTGACCAGTGGTGGAGACCAGGGGTGCTGCCCCACACCCTACAGGGCACAGGACAGTCCCTGAATGAAAAAACTCATTAGACTTAAAAACATCTACCATACTTATCTAGTCTATGAGTGAAGTCAATGTTCTAAGGTTTGGTTACCCTACTGCTTTTTGAAATAGAAAGCGGTAAGCAAGTTGAGATGATATGAACTAGCATCAATTTGCTTGGACTCTTGTGCCCCACAGTTTAACTTCCTATCTTTTGGTTCTAGTTGTCTGTGGCCAACTTGCTGCGGCTCAATCAAGCCTTGTTCCCGCCAGACCAGAAGAGAATGCAGTCATTATACCACCGTGGCTTTGACGACACCGTGACGTTTTTACGAAAGGAAAACTGGTTTGAATAGAACGCCTGCAAGTTCAGCATGCAGAGCAGCTTTTCAGACATGTTTCTGAGAGGCTACTAATTAAATGTTTTGTTTTGTTGTTGTTATTGTTAATCTATCAGGACTCTGCCAATTAATAAGTGAGGTACTAAGTGTCAGTTTATTCACACGTGGCAGCATCATTAAGGAGAGTCTCAGGAGTGAAAAAAACCCAAAGCCTCCATCTCCTCTTCAGGATGGATATGTCCGGCTCTGTGACAGTGATGACATTCTCCCATTCTCACTGTCCTTTTCCAAACCACAACTCATGCCCACTCAATGCCCAGAAGCAAATAAGTGCCTCCCTCCCTGCCTCCCATCCCTGGTAAAGCTCAATGGTTTCTATTTACTTATTTCATTTATTGTTATTCTTGTGTGCTGGAGAGTTGGAACTGACCCTCCAGCAGTTTTGCAGAGGCAGTAAAATGACATGAGAGGAGATGGCCCATCTTTGTACAGCAGAGCACCTGGTGGATTCGAACCATATGCTTTGAGTTAGCAGCACAATTCTTTACCATTAAGCCTCCACGTGTTCTCATGTACACTGTGTCCTTTTGTGACTGACTTTTGTTCTGCATTTATTTCCATTGTTCATCAGTGAGTGAGTGGCATGAATCGAAGCTTCACTTCTCTTTATGACTGTCTAGTCTTCCACTGTACTAGATAGACCACCTTGTGTTTACCTATTCACCTGTTATTGGGCATCCAGGTTGTTTCAGAAATAATTTTCCTTTTTAATAAAACATTTTTAATTGTGATTTTAAGAAAGTTTACAGAAAAGTTGGATTTTCATTCATTGATTGTTGCACATTTTACCCCCTCTACATCCCCCAGTTATATATGTATATATATATTTTGTTGTTGTTATGTGCCGTCAAGTCGTTTGCGACTCATAGCGACCCTATGTACAACAGCCCTAAACCCTGCTCTATCCTGTGCCAATCGCATTGCCTCTGACACACCCATCCCGATTACCCCAGTCACTGAATCAATCCACCTCATAGAGGGTCTTCCCCTCCTGCGCTGTCTGTCCACTCTGCCCAGCATGATGTCCCTCTCCAAAGACCTGTCTCTCCTTGCAACATGTCCAAAGTATGTCAGACGAAGCCCCAGAATCTTTGCCTCCAAGGAGTAGCCTGATTTAACCCTCTCTAGGATGAATCTGTTTGTTTTCTTGGCAGTCTATGGTACATTCAATACTCTTCTCCAACACCACAGCTCAAAGGCGTCAGTTCTCTTTCTGTCCTCCCTAGTCATTGTCCAGCTCTCTGATGCATAACAAGTGATTGCAAAGACCATGGCCTGTATCAGGCGCACCTTTGTCTCCAAAGATACACCGTTGTTCTTGAGTACTTTAGAGAGGTCCCTAACTGCAGACTTTCCCATCGCAATACGTTTTTTGATTTCCTGGCTGCTGGTGCCAAGAGTGTTGACCGTGGAGCCGAGCAAACTGAAGCTGTGAACAATCTCAATCTCTTCGCCATCCATCCTGATGCTACCAATTGGTCCAGTGGTGAGAATCTTCGTTTTCTTGACATTGATCCTCAGTCCATACTGAAGGCTGCAGTCCTTGACCCTCTGCAGTAAGTGCATGAGGTCCTCCTCAGTTTCAGTGAGCAAGGTTGTGTCATCTGCATAACACAGATTGTTGATAGATCTTCCATCAATCCTAACAACATGCGTCTCCTCATAGAGCCCAGCCTCTCGGATAATCTGCTCTGCATACAGGTTGAAAAGGTATGGAGATAAGACACATCCCTGGCGCACACCCTTCCCAATTTTGAACCATTCAGTGTTGCCCTGCTCTGTTCTGACGACTGCCTCTTGGTCCAAGTACAGGTTTCGCATTAGCACGATTAAATGTTCTGGGATTCCCATTCTTCTCAGAGTCAGCCACAGTTTGTTATGATCCACACAGTCAAATGCCTTTGCATAATCAATGAAACACAGATAAGACATTCTTCTGGTATTCTCTGCTTTCAGCTAAGATCCATCTAACATCAGCTACAATATCCCTAGTACCACAACCCCTTCTAAGCCCAGCCTGGACTTCTGGCAGTTCTCTGCTGATGTACTGTTCCAGTCATTTTTGGATAATCTTCAGTAGAATCTTGCTTGCATGTGAAATCAATGATATTGTTCTGTAGTTTCCGCACTCAGTTGGGTCACCCTTCTTTGGAATGGGAACAAATATTGACCTCTTCCAGTCCATTGGCCAAGTGGTTGTTCTCCAGATTTTTATTTACTCTTCCTTCCCCCAGTCCTCTTTGCAAAATGTACATTGCACATAAGACATTTTCCAGCAACTCTAAGAACCATTCTAATGTCAACCTCTAGTTACTATACCTAGTAAAGCTTATTAAAAATTTGAACCTATTAAAATACTCTTTAGCACCTTAAAGAGGTCCCTGGCAGCGAATATGACTGCTGCAATGTACCTTTTCATTTCCTGACAGTGGGTGTTGATTGTGGACCCAAATAAAATGAAATCCTTGACAATATCAATCTTCCATCCATCTATCAAGAAGCTCGCTGCCTAATGGTTCAGTGGTTGGGATTTTTGTTTCTTGATGTTGGTGTAAGCCATCCTGAAGGCTTAAGTCTTTGATCTTCTTTAGCTAATGCATCAAGCCTGTTTCACTTAGTGCAAGCGAATGCAAGCCTATTTTTCCTAAGCGCATGCAGTTGCTCCTGGGGAGGAGGGAGTGAGTGCAAAACACTCTCCTCTAGAAGAAGCCCAGGGGATTTTGAGAAACAGATGGTCTTTTCCTATTCTTCAGTGTCTTCAGTCGAGACTCCTGCAACTGAGAAGACTGTCAGGCTCCCTGATGCTTCTCTTTTGTCAACCCAGGTATGCTTCGCAGTCCTTCTTCCTTCTGTCCAGCTCTTGTTCTTCATGCTCTCTTCTCTCTTGCTCTTCCACACCTCCCTGAATGTGTCACCACTGATCTGTCCTCCAGGCCCACTGGCTCTAGGAGCGTCAGCAGATAGCACAGGAGTGGGCTTGAAGAACCAAGCAGTCTGGTAAACAGGACAGGAATCTCAAGTCAGTGTTGGGTTGATGTCCAGGCTTCTATTTTCCCAGTTGTTGGCTTGTCACTTTGGGGACTGGTGTCTGGGCTCCCCTTAATTCACATACAACAGCTTAAATCTGTGCTGGTGGGAGTCTACCAAGCATGATCTCCTAATTACTCAGAGGCAGTTACAACAAAATCATTTTAGCTGAATTGTCATACATTCTCCTTTTACCCTCTGAAGCCACAATTTAATGGTTCTTAAATCGCCAACTATAGTTTTTAACATCCAGACAACAGCATGTGCCCTTTCTCCAAATACTGTAGAGCAGCGATGCATAGTCTTTTTTTATATATTGGGGTACATCATCTTTTTTAATTTTTATTTATTTATTTTATGTGTGTACCATCAAATTGGATCTGACTGGTACAGGAGGAGATTGTTCCTCCTTCTTCAGCAGAGCATCCGGTGGATTTGAACTGCGTACCTCTGGGATTGCAGTGCAATTTCCTGCCACTAGGCCACCAGAGCTCGCCCATCATCTTTTTTTTATATTCACATTATGTTCATTTAGTAGATATTACTGTTTCTATACTAGCAAAGATTGCATTAAATCTTATATGTTGGTGTAGTAAGTGGCATGGAACTGTGGTGCAGGCTGAGTTTTTAAATGGCCTTCCTAGCTCATTGGCCGTTAGTCACATGGCTGAGTGAGAATATGCAAGTGGAATGTGCGGTCATTAATGAGGGGGTTGACCATCCCACCAGGCTTAAGTTGAGCAGACCTAAAGGCAGAAGATGGGAATCTTGTTCCCAGTAAGAAAGATGAAGCAATCCAGGCAGTTTCAGACATCAATTTCCTGATAGGAAGCAGGGAGCGTCCTTTAGGGACAGATTCCTGGGCCAGTCAGATTGGACTTGCAGCAGGTAAACCGTGAGACCGATGTTTGCTTTAGAGCTGACCCTGGACTACTGGAGGACTGATGGGGAAATACCATCATTGCCAGGACTAAGAGAGCTTTAGGGCACGCTAGTGGTCTAGTGATGAGGAGATGTGCTGCTAACCCAAAGGCATGCAGTTCGAATCCACAGTTCTATCTTTTCCATGGAAGAAAGATGGGCAGTCTCCTCCTGTGTGGTTTACAACCTCTGAAACCCCACTGGAGGGTCACCTATGAGTCATTCTAACTCCACAACAAGAGAACTTTGTAACGGTGACCTGAGGCTGAAGGCCAAAAGGCCTGTGAGCACACTAGGGAAGCCATTCTGACTGAAGAATTGCAACCTTGTTTGCCACACTAATCGTAACCTGTTAGCTGCCCTGGTAAGCCCCATGTCGGTGAGTATGGTCTGGGAGTGTTGTGTGGCCATTGCAAGAGGAGCAGACCCAGGAGCAGAATGCTGAAGCCTGGGAGGGACAGCCACTGGGAGAACTGGATAAATTTTCAATTCCTTGTTTTATCTATTTATTCACTAAAATTTCCATTTTGTCTAAGGTTCATTTTGCCTCCCCACCTTATTACTTTCTTTTATGTGACTATACTGTTTGTATGATAATTTCAATAGTCTTTACTCTCTCTTAACATAGTAAACATCTTTGAAATATTTTGAGCCATGGCATATATTCACAAAATAAAAATCTCGTACCAGACAGGTGGATAACACTTCCTTAAAAAAAACACAAAGAAAACCAACTCTAAAGTCCCTGACAGCTGTCTTCGTCACAGCAGCTGGGGATACCAAGGTGCCCTGGTCGTGCAGTGGTTAAAGTCCTAGACTGCTGTCTGGACAGCTGATGGTTTGCGCACACAGGGTGCTCTGTGGGGAAAGAGGTGGCAGGCGGTTTTTGTGAAAATGTGCAGCCTGGGAGACACACGGGGGCAGTTCCATTCTCTCCCGTTGGGTCACTGGGAGTTTGCATTGACTCAATGGGAGCACTTTGCTAGGGTTTTTGGGGTGGTGCAAACGATTTGCATTCAACTCCTAACCTAAAAGTTGATGGTTCAGAGCCACCTAACTGCTCTGCA